TTGCACAGTACATACCTTCTGCATATAATCTTTCTGCCAGGAACACGGCATCTCGGTAAGCATAGTGGTTAAGTGCTTGCCATATAGCAGCCTGCAAGAAAAGAAAAGAATCTAGATTTAGAGAGAAGCTTTAAAAATGAAAAAACTCATTAGCCCTTATGAGTTACAAAAGGCAAAGTTGAAAACCGAACTTTGAGGTGTAGGAATAGAGAAGGATAAACCTGCAGGCCAAGCTCTAGTTTTTTCAGCTATTGGTAAGGAGACTTCAAAAGACAAAAATCAAAACACCCAACTTAGCACTGAAGTCATGAACTAATCTAAGAGTGTTGCTCACTAGTTACTACATGCAACTGTCTATAAACCTCAGCCAGCATGCACTGAAATAACAGCGAGGGCTCCCAGTTGCTGCAAGTGTGTACCAGCATGAATTACTGCAAACTCCCACCAAACAAGGCCACAAAGTAAAGGTAAGAACAAAATCCACCCCGCAGCTGCTTGCTGGACTATTCCATTCTGCTCTTAGGAAGGGCAGAGGGGTGGGACAGAGCTGGGTGCCCAACCCATTTTACTGGCGTTATGCATAAATCCATGTAAAGCATCTCCTCTTGAGACATGCTAAACCAAAACTGAACAGGACTGAAATCACGTCAGCGTCTGAGGCTGTCGATACAAGCCCGTTGATTAAGTACTGAGGTACGCAGCGCTGTCCTTGGAGGAATATCAGTGTTCCCTTAAGAATCAACATGAGCCACTGCTTTTTGCGTGCTCTTTGCTCGGCAGCCACCTCCCTCCTGCCACTAATTAGGATCACGGAAGAATGCAATGCAAATGAGATGGACAAACTGATACACGCACACATACATCAAGGCAAACCTGCTTCTGCATTTTGCTCCTATCTCCATCCTTGGTCAGAATGGTCCTGAGTAATGGTACCATCACCTCTGTTCATGAACACCAAGCTGGAGAGTTTGGACCTATCAGTATTTGGCCAGACTCAAAACATGGCATTACTCCAGTGAAAGGCAAACCAAACGTACACACAGGAGCACAAACTGTGGATACCACTAAAGCTGCTGTCACAATTGCAGTGCTGTCACCATTCCTGAGCTACAAGCAAGAGCTGTCCAGCAGAAGGGCTGGGATATGCAGGGGTCACAACAGATACTCTGCCCATTTTGTTCAGATCAGATTAGAAGCCTTATGTTATCTGGAAAGAACACATTACAAGTCTACTAGTCTGTAAAGATTATATTACAAGTATATGCCCATTACAAGTAGCAGCGTGGATGCTGCATCATATGCAGATGTTTGTGTTCTGAGGTGAGCAGGCTGGTATCAGGACTGTGGTTCCTCCCTACCCATCAGTCTTGCTCAGGTTCCAAAGCTGTTTTCTATAAGGAGCAAACGGCCATTTTGCAGCAGTTTTGTTACTATCAATCCAAGCAAGATCTGAACTCAGGAATTCAAGGCACTCTGGTTTAGTACTTCAATATTCATCAGAACTGAAGACAAACAGAATTAGCTACTAATACCTATCAGACACTCCAAAACGAAAACAGATCTTCCAGAGCTAAAGAAATAGCATCCTGCAATGCTATTCCCAGTAGGAAAAGCAAATGCCAATCCCATCTGAAAAAACTCAAACATCACAGACTTACATGTACCATATGCTGCTACTTCCAACACAAACTTGACAAACACAGGGTGTGAAAAATGTGCAAGTTCTCTTCACGGGAAGCCTACACAGTCTCCATGAACACTACACCCCAGAGGCTCCAATTACTATACACAGTATTATACACAAAATCTCAGAGATACTATTTTGCTTCTATCAGTAGGTCCCAACAACACCCTTTAAAAGTCAACAGGTACTTTTCAGCTTGTGTGAAGATACCTGAAAGTGAATTCTCTCACTTTGATTATTACAATGCAAACCCCTTATTCTTTCTCCCTGGCAGTATTCCACGCTTCAGATAACTTCAGCCAGAGTCTGCCTCAAGTGATTACTCCCTTTTACCTTGAAAAGCTCCAAGGCCATACATTGTTCTGGGCAGTGTGGCACAGAAAGCATGAGACAGAAGGACAGTGTTAAAATCTTTCACACCATACCCGAGTTAGAGCAGCCTAAAGTCTCCTTTTTTTCCTCTTGCTCTCAGCAGCAGCTCTCCCTTTACCAAGTCACAAGTGACATTTAGCTGAATCTATCCACTTTGTGCCATCTTCAGGTTAAAAGTGCTGTCTTTACAGGGCTGCAACCCTACATGCTTACAAAACAAAGGCATGGGGGTGGTGGCAGTGTTGAAATCAGTGTCATTTGACTTCCCAAACAGGAGCAAGTTGCCAGAAACTATCTTGCCAAAGGCTGAGAGAGGACACAAGTGATTTTGCAGCCACATTATGAAGTTACACTACATACTGGCTCAACTAATTGTTGCTGAGAAGAGTCCCAGTGCAAGCAAGATGTCAGCTGGTAGTATCCCTGTAGTAACTGTCATTTTGCAACCCAAAAGGTGCAAATCAGACTCATGCCTCCAGCAGATGAATGCTGAAGGCAGGATCCTTGCACACACTCTCCTACAGTAGCAGGAAGAGAAAAAGAAGGTGGCAAGGAATCACATACCTACACAGTAACCATTTTCTATGAGAACAGATGTCTAAGGTATGACTGTGTCTCAACTACTGAAAAAGAACATTTCTTGTGCATCTTTTAATCAATCTCTTTAGTAATTTAGTTTGTTCTAGCAGGAGTTCAATGCATCTACACAGCATTACTGGCACATAACTGCTAAACCACACCAGAAGAGTGGTCTGAAGCAAAGAACTTTAGGAGCATTTACGCAATAAAAACTACTTAATCTAAAAGACTTCAGAGCAGGACACCACAGTACAAGCACAAACACAATCCAAACGCAGCCTTAGTTTCCTCCCTATGGCAGTTATCAAGTTTTACATGGAACCTGTCGGCAGAAGCCCAAAGCAGTTGCCTCCTCAAGAGTGTGCAAAGAACCCGAGATACTTCAGTCGTGATTTCTGTTCTTGGGGCTACAGATACGGACAGGAAGGAAGCTTGAAGAGTTGCAGAGTCTTATTTAAGTGTGCTTGCAGATCAGATGAACCTCCAGGCCATAGTCACTCATTTTAAAGATGCATTCAGTTGAAAATGGAAAGTGAACAGGGAATTCCAAAACTACCATACCAACCACAGCTGGGCAGCAAAGACTCCTCAGAGAGGAAAGCAAGAAAAGCAAAGCAGATTGAGACAGGTCAACCTTCCACCTAGAAAATCCCGTGCATTGTCCAAGTGTCACTTCATACATAAGCCAAAGAGCTCTTGAAAGACAGGTGTTCTCTTCTGACAGTGCTATAGCTTTGGAAGTGATTTTGAAAGCTTTACAGCCTATTGGCATGCTAAGCAGCTTCTATCACAATTTAAGACTTCTCCAGGGTGGGCAGAGGGAAGGAGACTTTTCTGTGATAAGCATTTACCAGGTATGCATCAAGCGAGCAGAGAATGGCACTGGGCGTTTTCAGCCACCACAGCAGCCCTGGAGCTCAGGCACCGTTCAAGTGGGTCACAGCAGATGATCACCTTGAACAGCTAAATCCCAAGGGAAGCGTTCATTTTGTTTCCAAGCTGTTTTTCAGAAACACTTGGAAAGCATCCAGTCTGCTTCTCAGCACATGGGATACAAGGCTTTACTTTTGAGCTGAAGAGTTTTAAACTGACCACATCAGGATGAAAAGTAGAGGTCTGCTGTCTGCGTGAACTCTTCTTTGCTGGCACTTTTGCTCATCTTAAAGGATTAAAAGAAGTTAGTAAAAATCAAATCAGGGAAGAGGATGCCTTTTGGGACATTAATTTCTTGTAACACAAGGCAACACACACAGAGATGGGATTATTTACCATGTTTTGCCTATCAAAACTGTAAAGATGACAGTTTGTTCCTGGAATGCTAAGCCCCGCAGACATCCGAAAGGCTGAGAGAGAACAGACAAATAGACAGGAAAAAATCTCTGCAATGACAAAAATGAGAAGTAGTGTCAAACTGTCCAATCAGAGCACTTTAAAAAAAATCAGGAAAACAGAGCTAAATCCGTGGATTCCAGATAAAATGGGGATTCAGAAATGCAATCAACTGCACCCAGATGTGCACAGTGAAACAGAGACCACTCACTGGAGTGAGTGGTCTCACACCAGTGAGAAAACAAGCATGAGCTGGGTGGGAAAGGTGCTGCAGTAAAGCTGTCCAGTATCTACAATGCTGCTCGTAGCCATGGCACTACGGACCACAGGAACCACAGCAGAGCCAGGCAGGACTCAAACGCTGACCTTGTACTGCATGGTGCACCGGCGGGCGGTTCCTTTACCGTTAAAAGCAAGGATATGACCAAGGCCACAAAAAAGAACAAAACCTAAACTTCCCAGTGTTTCTGTAAGCAAGGAATAGCAGCACAGCTAAGAGCAGTAGAACCACTGATAAAGGAACTGTTTGGTATTTGAAAGCAGGCAGAATCTAAACAGGTATATTCAACATAGCAAAACCTCATGGAAACAGCCAAACTGATGAGAGCTTAAGAATGGAGAATGACATTAGAGAGGCCTTCACCTACCAGAAAAATGAGCACAAGACTGCATGTTTCTACCACGGAACTCCCAGAATGGCAAATATTTTCCACTTGGTTTGTCTAATTAGCACAGTGCTGGAAACACTAAATGTTGTTTCCGGGCATTCACTCTGCAATGCATTCTTGCTTCCTCCTCTATCGTAACCCCATGTTTTCCTAGAATACCCAACTGGTACAAAACAGCCATCCCAGCTCCAAGGGTAACAGCAACGGCGTAAGTGTGACCAGTGCAAAGAGGGACCAGGTGGAATTTCCAGCTCCGCACTGACCCTTGCTCTCCGAGTGGATGAGCAGAACAGTGGCATCAAGGATACAAACCCCTGGTCTACAAGAGCACCATCACCATCTTGCACGGAAAAGATCAGGTCAGCAGGGTGGTCTTCCAGAGGACAAGTCTTTCTTCCCTTCCTACCTTTTCACTAAAAGGAGGGAGGAGAGCTGAAAGCACGCATTGTCACGATGCTCATTACAGAACAGAGTCATGTACTACCAAGACACTTACGGCAACATGTTCCCACCATAACTAGAAACAAATCCACCCTGTTGAAAGGCTAAAACCCAACCAAACCACAAGAACATGGACACAAAAAGAAGCCTGATTAATGGAGATTACAGAATAGGTAGAATAATGGGTGTACAGGCAAGGCAGAAAGAAACAGCAACTCTTATTTCAATGAATCATGCCTTTTAAATGGGAAGACTGAGGACAAGAGCAGGAAGCCCATCAGGGTCACTGCAGTGACACTAAAATATGGAGGAAAACCAAAATCTATGCTATTTTCTCTTCCAGGTCTCCCATCCATGTGTAGGAACTAACTCCTTGGGAAAAAGGAACGTCCTTCATCTGCATCCCACGTCCGGAGCCGAGCGTGCTGCGAGCATTTAGAAACGAAACGGCAGCAAACGCAGAAAGGTAAGCGAGATGGAGAGAGATATCAACAGGTCTCCCAGGGGATCCACCGGGGGAGCCGAAAGGGCCTTTAGCAGGAGGCCGCAGGACACCGGCAGCTCCTGGGGTGAGGCCGGGTCCCCCCGTTGGGGGTCCGGCAGAGGAGAAAGGGCGAGGGCGGCTCGTCCCAGAGGCGCAGGGGATGGGGAGGGGACGCGCAGAGGAGCAAGGAAGCCCCGCAGCCCTCCCGCAGCCCGGCCAGCGGGGCGGAGGAGCCGGGGCTGGCGGCGGAGAGCGCCCCGCGGCCCTGGCCCGCTCCCACCGGCGGAGGGGGCGCCCGGGGCCCGCAGGCCCCCAGCCCCAGGAGCGGCCCGAGCGGAGCGGGGCCTCCCGCCCCAGGAGAGGGCCCGGCGGCGGGGAGGCCTCCCCCGCGGAGCGGCCGGTGCGGCAAGGCCGGCTCCCCCCGCCAGGCCGGGCCGGGCCCTGAGCGCGGCGGCGAGCCCGAGCCGCCCAGGGGTCGGTACCTGGACGGGTTCCTGCAGCACCGTCATCCTGCTCTCCCCGGCCTCCTCCGCCGCCTCCTCGCCGAGCCCGGAGCGGGGCAGCCCCGGCCCCGCCTCAGTGCGTGTCCCGGCAGCGGCGCGGCGCGGCCCGGCCCCTGCTCATTTAAACTCCCAGCGACCGTTACCGGGGCAGGCGGCGGGGAGGGAAGGAACGAGGCCGGCCAAGCGCCGAGTCCGCCCGAAGCTAGCGGCGGAAACAGCCGAACCGTCCGCCGGAAATACCCGAAGCTTCAGGCGGAGAGAGCCGAACGCGGACGGAAAACAGCTGGGGAAGCTCCCAACCCGCCGTCCGCCAGGCGGAAGCGCTTCTGCTGCCGGAGCCGCCCGAGCGCGGACGGAAACAGCCGAGCTGCCGGGCATGGGCACAGCAGGGGCAGAGGGAGCCACGTCTGGCTCCGAGCTCGGGTCCGTTCCCAAAGGGATGGGATCAGGATGGCCCAGCTAAAGTTCAGTTTATTAAATGCACATTGCCACCCGTGCGCTGGGCTGCATCCTGCAGAGAGCACGTGGAAGCGGGGGCTGCATCATCCTGTAAGGGGAGAAGCTGTGTGAGGGGTGCTTATGTTGGACACTTGGTGCGGAGCAGGAGGCTTGCCTTGCCTGCTTCCGTGATCTTTTTACACGTCCTTCTCCGTGTTCCCGAATAGGGTATTTACAAGTTGGTTATTGCTCCAGTACGTCTGCAGGTGTTTGCTTTCAGGGTGCGAGCTGGCTGGCATGGAAAGCCAAAGCCTGAGACACATCATGAACAGGGTCACGGAGCAGTGTTTTCCCGCTGGGGTGGATATCTCGTTTGCCATCAGGTTGACCCAACTCATTCTACTGAGCACAAAGGGTGCAAACACCACGCTACAGTGAAATGCCTGCCCTCCCTAAAGGAAGGCTCGCACGCTGATGGGGATGATGGGGACGTGTGTCTACGTGCGTCTGGGGGTCCCAGGGAGCCTTTGAAGGAGCACAGACCATGCTCACCATCCTCATTCCGATCTTGCTGCCCTGCTGTGCGCTGCTGCTATCTCCTCAGGATGAAAGCTGGCTCCATCTGTCTCTTCCGTTTCACAGGGCGCTGTGCTAACCCTCCTGACACCCAGACCATCTTTGGTATGAGGCTCTGTCTTATCGCAGCCTGAGTAGATAGAGCCATGGGCTCTCCTTAGGGTGGGGGGTTCCTTTCACCCCTCCTCAGAGCCTGCTGCACTTCAAGCAAAGCATCCAAACTATAAAAGGACAGAGTGCTGGCTCTTATCTCGGGACATAAGACTCCTCCAGTCCTGCAGTGCAGGCCTGCTCATGGGGCCAATCACTCCCTGGTGTCCACACGTCTGTGGGGCTAAAACCACTTGCTCCTTGGGATCCTTGGCTTTTCCAGAGCAGGAGGTAGGGCATGGAGTACGGGGGTATAGAGCTGTATGGAGGTGTATCCTGTGCCTGTTCAAGTGCGTCATTCCAACCTGCGTCTGTACAAAGCAGCTCTGCTTTACCCTAAAGAGACAGAGCAGGTCCCCAAAGTCCAGCGTGGCTGGCTGCTACCCCAGGGGTGCTTCGGAGGGTGGATTTCACAGCTCTCACCATTCTCCCTAGTGCTGTCATTTGCCACTGCTCTCTTTCACTCTATCGCTTTGGTTTTCATTTACAGGGTGAAGAACACTCCTGTCTGCACAGGAGCTGGAGGCTCAAAGACAAAGCATTGTCCTTTCTCACCCTTCATGGTGATCCTTTCCCAGGTTGAAGCAGAAATAATACATTAAAGAGGCGAGATACCCAGATTCTCCCTAATGGAAGCTGTAGAAATAACCACAGGCAGGAGCTAAAATCTGATGTTGGCATCTCTAAGCAGCTTGTGTTGCTTTTGGTGAGCGTTTGAATCACAGTGGGAATAGAAAGCAGCTGTTACTCAATCACTGCACAGAAACACACAAGTGGCAGCTGAAGTCAGCTCCATCAGAGCAAAACACCTTCAATTTCTGATCAAAGCCCTGGAGCCCGGACACTGGGGTAAGAACCAAATCAAAGGAAGATGTTTTCTGCTCCCGGGTGTGCGTCTCAGTTACCTGCCGTGAATTATTCACCACTTGGAAGGATGCTCTGATGGGTTCTTTGCAGGTAGGAACAGAGACAGAGCCCCCAGAGCTCCAGCCAGCTGCTGCCTCTCTGCTTGGAGAGGAACCATCCTGGAGCCCTGTCCTGGCTGGGCTCCATCCCAGGCAGGACACTGCCCACACCGCAGGGACCTGTTGCTTCCCCATTTTCCTCCCCCCTCACTGGTTCATCAGGACTCAGCTTCCTGGAAATCAACCTTCAAAACTGGACTTTGGGGCCTGTTGATGGTGTACAGAAATTAATGCTTTTCATGTCTTCCCTGGTGGTTTGGGGTGGTTTGGTTTCTCAGGGGCCTCTGGCCTTTTCTGGCTGGGACAGGCCTTATGTTGATGAAGGAGAGGTCCCTGTTGGTCTCTCCTGTGACTGGGACAGTGGCAGGGCTAAGCAGGTGCCCCTTTACTCCACCTCTGCTCCTGTGGACCTGGAGGGGATGCTCTTGGGGCGGCATGTTGTAGGGTAGATGGGCTAAAGGGCTGGAAAAGGGCTGGGTTTAGGGCACAGGGGAGGTGAAGAGCATCCCAAGAAGAGGGGAGAAGAACAATTGGATGCAACTTGTCCCTCTTGCTCTCTTTGCTCCATCAGCAAGATGTGGCCAGATCTCACCCCAGCTCCTGCTCCCACATGGGGGTAGGCAAAGACCCTCACTGTTTCCTCACACCTAATGGTCATAAACCTGCCCTTTTCCCCTCTCTGTGGGAGCATCCTGCCGTCTCAGGTGGAGACCAAGAAGTCTCTTCCATCTACCTCTTCAATGAGCAGCAAAAGCAAAGCAGAGATACCATGTGAGGGAAGAAGGATGGAATTTAATGAGCCAAATGTCACAGAAAAAAAGACTGAACAGAATAACTGAAGGGTTAAACCCAAGCTGCAGAGGTCTCATTGTCCACCGAGGCTCAGGCACACGCTCGTGGGGGCCAGCTCTCCATGGTGGCACATCTGCAGATGCGTGACATCCAGGGTGGAAGGGACACGGATGGAGGGATCTCGCTGCTTGTGGTGCTCGGGTGGGTTCCAACATTGCTGAGAGCTGGGGGACAAGAGCAGGAGAGGGCTTAGCACAGGGAATCTTTGAGCTGAGAGGGAATGTCCGTAGCCGTAATCCCAGTTACACCAGTTACATCCCAGTTACACCAGTTACATGCCAATGGGCTCGTATGGAGTTAAGCTTTCCAGCAGCATTTGCCACCCAAGCACCTGTGCTGCTGAGCTGGTGAACAGGAACTGGAGAGAAAAGGATTCAAACCCAGATGAAAAGGATGCTGAACATTCAAAGTTCAGAGTTCTCTGTCCCCACTTTAACCTTCTGATGGCTAAAGAGGTTTGTAGAGGAAAACAGAGGGGTTAAAGTGTTTCATTTGTATATTTAGCAGTATCTGGAGGGGAGGCTGGGACTAGCTCTTATAACTTGGATTTCCTTTTAAACTGCATAGGTTTCAGAGGGATTGTTCACCCTTTTTCTTTGTTTTCCTCAGGCAAGACTTTGAGGACCACAAAAAGCTTAACAAGCATCACTGGGACATTTCCCATCTTCTTTCTAACGGGAATGGGAATGTTCAGAAATTCCCTTGTTTAAGTGTTTCGCCTTTCCTTAGCATCAACTCATTCACTGCTGCAGGGGTTTCAGTACTTCCTCCCACTGGTGCCCACCTCCTGGTGGCTTAGAAAACGTAGCCCCATAAACCACAGCAACCTCTTTGTTACCAACACGATTAACCAGGCCACGACGGACAGTGACAGGCTTGATGCTGTGCTCCGTAGACGGCACAAGTTACCCGTGAGGTTTGTTATCATGAACGCAGGTTCTGGTGCTTTCAGAGCTGGGATTGTTCCAGTTTCAGACACCACGAACTCACCTGAAGTTTCTCCTTTCAGCCAGACATGATGTGCTTGACGAAAGCTGGGGAGAAAAGGAGGAATGAGCATGGCAGGTCAAAGGATGTGAGCTGTGGTGGGGCAGGCAGAGCCTGGGGCACCCCAGGCACAAAGGGGATGAGCGATGCCAGGGCTGAGATTTCACCTTCTGTTCCTACCTTCCCAAAGGCCTCTTGGGGACGAGCCAGAGCCAATATCCTCAGTTTGCCAAGGGAAATAGGCCAAGGGAAATTGGTCCCCCCTTTTCCTCAAGGCTCCCCAGTTTTAGGGGTTCCCAGATTTAACCACCATTTTCACCCTCTTGCAGCCAGATTCCCAAATGGCCCCAGCTTGCCTCTGCTCTGAAAGGTGCTGGCTTTGTTTGTTAGCTCACAAGAAAGCGGTGGAAAACTGGGGATAAACCCTTGGGAACGTGCCTTCGTCAGCTGGAAGTCACTGACCCGGCCACCGTGTCCCCAGCCCAGCTGACTCGTCTCACAGCTCTCCTTGGAGAAGCTTTGGAAGATGGTCCCTATCTCCCTCTCAGTGATCACCAGTGTCCTCCCAGAGGGCCCATTTTGCACCCTAAGCCAAGAGAACCGTGTTTGAGATGGTCTCGACGGGAATCTGCTGCTCCTACCTTCATAGTTGATACAGCCATTGGCATCTTCTTGCCCTGCCATCAGCTGCTCCACCTCGCTTTCTGTCATCTTCTCTCCTGGAGGATGATGGAGAGGTGAGGGAAGGGCTCTCAGCCCCCCAGGACCTTCCTGTCCTTTTCCCAGAGAGCCAAAGTCACCAGAGGAAGGAAAAAGGGATTTAAAAGGAGCTGTGTGACACCCCAGGTTGGGGCATGCTGCTGGAGAGAGGACCAAGCTGCAGTGGTTGTCTGATAACTGAGGATGCTATGGCCTCTCCATCTCACCTGGATCATGCATGAAGTGGTGAGGTGGAAAAGGCCACATATTCAGGAGCCATTAATGAAAGCCTACGAGCAGCAGAGTCAAAAGGGTCTCTCTGATGCATGAGGCCACCCAAGTAACCCAAGCCATTAGGGGTGGCCTGTGTCCTGCTGCCCAGCCCAGGGCCAGCCCGTACCCAGTGTGACCAGCACATGGCGCAGCTCGGCGCCCATCACCATGCCATTGCCCTCCTTGTCAAAGACACGCAGCCCTTCCACAAAGTCCTCGAAGGTGCCCTGCTCCTTGGTGCGGGTGAAGTGCTGCAGGATGGGCAGGAAGGCCTCGAAGTCCAGCAGCTTCGTGTTCATTTCTGGAAGGGGAGGAGGAGATGGGGTCAGAGATGAAACCTCCATAGGCTGAAATCAGCCTCTGAGCACTTAACCTTCCTGGTCTTGTGTGGGTACAGGAGAGAAGCACCCCAAGGTGGTGGGACTGTTGGTACTTGAGATTGGAAGATCCCCATGAGGAGTAAAGTGCTAACACCTGGGGACCGCACACAGACCACTGATAGCAGCAGGGAGATCCTTTGCCACCAAGGCCACGCAGCTGCACTGGAACCAGTCAGGTTCACACCAGCTCAGGATGTGGTCTGCGGAGCACCCATTGCCACCATCCCCGGGTGAGGAGCGCTCCCTTATGTCTACTCCCTTAAGAGTACCCCTTCTGTCACCCGTAGCACAGGGAAGGGTAGTGAAGGAACGAGGCCTCTCTGCCTCATTTCCTTCATCTCACTGGGTTCTTCCTAAAGGGGACATAACCCTCCACTTGCTGCCAGGAAGCACAGGGATTACTTGTCCCACCATGTCCCCGCTGCCCCACTTTGCTCTCACCTTCTGCTTTGGGCTTGCCCAGCACCTTCAGGACCTCTGCATTGGTGGGGTTGTGGCCAAGCGCCCGTAGGACATCCCCACACTGGGCATAGGAGATCTGCATGGCCCCGGCGGGCGTCCGGTCAAACAGGCTGAAGGCTTCTTTGAACTCTGTGCGTGAGAAGAGCCCAGCTGTTCCTTCCTTTCCATAGGGGGACCTTTCCATAGGCCCACTCCCCACCCTGCTGGAGCAAGGAAAAGACGGACACATGCATGGTGGGTGCCCTCCTGCTGCATCCCCATGGTCCCCACCACACCCCATGGCTCTGCTGGCACCCCCAGCCAGGCAGACACAGCACAGGGTTGGCTGCGTTCATTTGGGGAAGGGCGGCCGTGTCCACCCCAGCCTTGCAGACCACGGGAAGGATGCAGGAGATTCATTCCCAAGCTTGTTCCCATAGCACCCAGAGCTGTGGGTTTCTTGTCCATGGCACCCATGAATTCCAGGTTCTGGCCCATCTTCTTCATAGCATCCAGCAGTAGTCACTCAAAGCAGAGCATTGCTTCTCCTGCTGTTGGGTGGGATGAGGTGATCGCAATCTCCATGGAGCGATGGAGACATCACGGTCAGGTAGGCATCCCCTCGTGTTTGGTGGGAATCCTGGCCCAGGGATTGCTCCTTGCCTTGGATTTACTTCTTTTCTACTTGGCATCTTTATATCTTCTGCTGAGCCTCACCCTCCCATGGACCACGTCCCCTTGTCCGTGTCCCCGTAATCCTGTCTATAGTCCCCCCCCCCGTGCTGCTGTTATCCTGCTTGTCCTCATGGTGGCTCCATCCCTGCACATGAGATCCCTCCATAGGGCATGTTGAGGGAGGGACATCCCCCACTGTGAGGCCCTGGCCACGAGGCATCCCTGTGAGGGTGCTCAGTCCCCTCCTGACCACCTGGAGCCATGGGAGCACATCACATACTGGGGGACATCGCTGCAGGTTAAATCCAAACATCTTCACATTTTAACTTGCTCACGTTCCCACTGGCCCTGTTCTCCTTCCCAAAGCTGGTTTGGGGCCAAGCCTGCAGGATCCTGTGTCTCCTCCTCCCAGTCTCCACACCAGGATCTGCCCTCACATCTCATCCCTCCCATACACTGTACAGAGGCATGAAGAGATGAGGAATCCCAATCCCAGCTCAGTCCCTGCATCGCCAGAGGCTGCTCCTCCCACGCGAATCCGGCTTTGAACCAGGCTCCATCCCTCACCATGAATGGAAAAATACCTTTTCCCTGCCTGAAGCAAGGACTGTACCCTTCAACTGGGGCACCCCCAGTGCAGGGTAGGGAGCCAGGGTCAATTTATTGCTCCCAACAGCCCTAGCTAAATCCCTTTGCTGCTCCCAGCATTGCTCCCATCTCCATCGGCTGCCTCCTCCCTTCCCCATCTCCTTTCCATCCTGATGCTGGGGGTTTGATGTGAGGGGCCTTGGCCTTTATGTCTGCTGTGGAAAGCTACCTGGGAAAAGGACTCCCCATTCCTAATGGCATCCCTGGGAAAAGGTGAAGTCTGCACTTACCTTCAATCTGCTCTGCAGTGAACTCAATCTGTCGGGAGAACAGAGCCAGGCATCAGTGTTATGTTATGGACAGGGCTCTCCCCTGCATTTGAACTTCTCCACAGTCAGGTGGAAAGGATGCTGTTTTCAGGATGCTTGATCCTTAGTTCAAGTGATTAAACACCCTCCGCACTGAGCCTGCTCTAAATAACGCCCCTGCCACACCTCTGGCTTAAATACGTGACTAAAACCTGGGGAATCATGGAAAACCAAGCTCCCATTGTGCTGATTTGGCTAAAAGATGCTTTCAGGTGGAGGAGACAGCACAGGCAGCCAGATGCTTCAGGGTGGAGGCAGTGGGTGGCTGCTGGGACCCTGACACAGGGGGGAAGATTGAAACATCCCCACAGCCAGGAGAGCATCCCTCCCAGCCTGCTGCATCAACACATCCCTCCCAGCCCTGTGCATCAACACATCCCTCCCAGCCCTGTGCAGCAACACATCCCTCCCAGCCCTGTGCATCAACGCATCCCTCCCAGCCCTGTGCATCAACGCATCCCTCCCAGCCCGCTGCATCAACACATCCCTCCCAGCCTGATGCTCCAATGCAATGTGCTCGTCCTGCCCTCCCAGCCCTGGCTCTCAGCCTGGCGCATCGCACTGCCCATGCCCATGCCCATGCCCATGCCTGCAGATGAGAGGCACCAAGGGAGACGGGGACGTCTCCATCCCTCTCTCACCTTCACGCTCTTGGGATCAAAGGCAGGCTCTCGGGGGGGCTCCGGGGCTGGAGCTGCTTTGGCCGCTTCCTTCTTGGGGTCAGGTTTCTTGATTGGCATCGTGCTGGGGCTGTGTGAAGGGGCAGGGATGGGTCCTGCTGCCCAGGGAAGCCACTGAACCGAGGATGAAAGGCAAAGGCTGCTCCTTCCCTTATATACAAGCCCCGTGCTCACCCCGCAGGGGCAGGCCAGCTGCTGGAGCAACTGCTACTTACTATAAAAGGAAGAAAACTCAAACGAGAGGGGCCCCAACTTGACAATTGCCCATTGTCATCAGCTCCCGGCACGGCCAAGCCACCAGACACCCCCAACCACCGCAGGGGGGACGTGGCCCCCCCAGCACCTGCGCCGGGTGGGCTGCACGGGGGCTGCTGGCTGAATGAGCGCTGAAAGCCTAAACTCCATCCGCCCCGGGTGCCTGGCAGGGAAGCAGCGACACGGGGCTGATGGAGCTGCCGTGATGCCCATGGGGAAAGCACGCCTGGTTTTAGGCAGGCCTCAAGGGCAAGCGCTGCAGGGCCCTTTGTGACCCCGGGGTTTAGGAAGGGCCGCTGCACAGCTCAGTCCTCACTGCATGAGCCCCTGGCCTCGTGCTCAGGGGCTGGTTTATCCCCATTGCTCCCCAGGGATGAGCTTGTGCCTTGGAAGAGGTGCGGGTGAGGAGCTGTGCTCACCTCCGGAGGACAGCTAAGGAGGGTAATGCAAACGAAGGGTAAAGCCAGGCACTTAATTCATCAGCTCAGGACCTTTCACAGCGCTGCGCTGCTCATCATAGAACCATAGAACCATGGAATGGTTTGGGTTGGAAAGGACCTTAGGATCATCCAGGTCCAGCCTGCTGCTCATGCTCCTTCTGGTGCAGCCCCGCACATGGGTGGTTTCTGGGCTCAGGTGCACACTGCCAGCTCACATTCAGTTTCTCATCAACCAACAGCCCGAGTTCTTCTCAGGGATGCTCTGGATCACTCCTCTGCCCGACCTGTAGCTGTGTTATCCCATGCACCCCAAAACCTGCAGGGCAGCATGGGCCGTACCATCTCCTTTCAGCTCCTCTCCAGGCACTGGGCAGGCTCCGGTGGGAGATGCTCCTGCTCTCACCCTCCTCTCCCAACTGCTTGAAGACCTGCAGAAGATGCAGAAGAGGTCATCGGGGTTCAGCATTCCCAGAAATGGGGCTTGAGGGTTACACTGAGGCATCTAAACAAACCTGCAGCCTCATTGCTCCAGCCAGCGCTGGCTTCAATTGCGCTGCAGGGACCGTCACAAGCCACTGGGTGGACCAGGATCCTGCGAGATGCTGCTGGGCCCCGTGCGAGAGCTGCGAGGTCTCGGTGCTGGCTGGAGCCTGAGCCATTCTGTGCGTATATCTATACACACACTTCATCGATGTACGTATTGAAATATAGTTTATAGATGGATATAGAAAAGTGCATTTGGATTTGTCTTTTCAGGTGGTTGAGTCAGGCTGGTTCAGGTTGTGTTGCATTGCAGCGGCTCAGGCTTGGCATGACCGGCTGGGTCTAATCCTGCTCTTTTGGAGCTACTGCAGGGCTGGGAGTGAAGGGAACTGCTCGAGCCATCACGAGCTGGGTCATGGGGGTCTTTCAGGGGGAGGAAACAGCAGCAAACTGCTGTCTGCCATCACCTGAGGGCTGCTCGCGTGGGTTCGGGGCTGGATGGGAGTCATTTGCAGTGATTGCTTTCCCGAGCGCTCTATAATAAAGCAAATCATTTAGCAAGAAAAACCCAACATGTTTTGCTAACGGCAAACTCGGATGCGGGGTCAGGTTCTGGGAATCAAATTGCCCCTGAGTGCTGCTGCCTCCCCCTCAGCCAACAGCCACCCATCCCGAGTAAAGAGCAACCTCCCTTTACCCTCAGCTCTGCTCCCTGCAGCTTCAGGGTCAGGAATCAGAACCCAGAAGAGCCTTTACATTAATCCTGCAATTCAGATGCTTCTCCCATCTCTCGCCCTTTGTGCCTGTGCAGCATCTCGATGAGCAGAGCAATGCAGGGCTGGTGTCAGCATCCACCAATGGTCCATGGTAGTGGCTAAACTGGGATGAGGAGAGAGGCAGCTGCCGAGGATGCCACTAATCCCTCCTTGATTTACTGCTGTGGCAGGGAAAGCCACCAAGAGGCTTGTTCTCCTGTTCAACTTAACCAGGGGGAGCACAGCACCTCCTGAGCGCTGCCATTGGGATTTGCTTTGCTCTCTCATCCAGCTGGTAACACCTTCCCTCGCCACAGAGCCCATCACCCCTTGTCCTATCGCCGCAGTCCCTGATGAAGAGTCCCTCTCCAGCATCCTTGTAGCCCCCTTCAGGCACTGGAAGCTGCTCTGAGGTCTCCACACAGCTGCTCTTCTCCAGGCTGAGCAGCCCCAGTGTTCTCAGCCTGGCTCCATACGGAAGCTGCTCCAGCCCCTGAGCATCCTTGTGGCCCTAAATGATCCCAAAAGCCACCCACACGGGTGGCATCAGAATGGTCCTGAAAGGCCTGGGACAGCCCTGGGGTGTTCCCGAGGGGATGCAGGTGCCAAGGGACTGCTCTGATGGGGATGTTGTCAGCTTCAATGGGACCAACTCTGAGCTGGTGGGAACTGCTGTCAGGACTGACCGTCTGCCTGCGGTGCCCATTTAGCCTCATCCATGGAGGTTAAAGCTCTTGTGCAGTGAGATCCTTCTGCAAAGCAAACCCACAAAGGCAGGAGGGTGCTTGTCCTGGTGGGGAGCACCCCAAAGCGCACCCCAACCCCTAGAGAAGCCAAAGGGTTAAGCTGGCATCTGCCTGAAAGACGTCCCACCCCAGGAGCATCAGTGCCGAGGTGATGCTCACGTGCTTGCACCCGCTGCCCCTCTGCCTCCAGCCACATCGCTGGGGGTCTCCCCACTGTCCTCCAGCTCCTTGGGACCAGTGTGGGGCAGGAGGGGACTGAGCTGCTCGGGGGCAGCGGGGGGATGCTGTGACAGCTGAGAAATGAGCACCAGGCAGCGAGAGGAGTTTCTGAAAGGAGAAGAGGAATCTGCCTTGAATGGAGAGGATTTTAGCACCTAGGGCTGAGCCAATAAACCTCTGCCATCCCCATCCGAGTGGGAATTGTTTGCACACGCTCCGGGAGCTGCTTAAAGCAGGCGGGAGATGGAGAGTGAATAGGAGCAAGGATGATGGGGGGAGAACCCCCTTCACCTGGTGAGCCCGTGAGCAGATAGATCCCTATAGCACTGCCAGGACCCCACGGGGGGCAGCAGTGGGGAAGGTGCCCCAGAAGATGCTCTGTCCTGCTGCCCCACAGCCTGGGGCTGGCAGCGCTTCTGCAGCTCAGCATCCCTGAGGTCCGTCCCAGTGACACGGTGGGACCATGGAGACGTCCAGTCCCAAGGGAGGGATCACAGCACTTCTCCTCTGCTGCTGTCTGCTCAGCTCTGCGCGGGCTCTGGTAAGTCTGCATGCTCCTATGGGCTCCTCTGGTCCTCTCCTGGCTTGAACCCCTGCTGGCTGTGCATCCCGCCCCAGCTGCACATCCCACCCCACAGAGCTGCTGGGCAGGAGGGGAGGGAGAGCATCTCTGCTCCTGCTAAAGCTTCCACAGCCATGGAGACACCACAACGGGGTAATTTTCCCATTGCTTGGATGCATCCAGGGCCGGGTTCGCTGCCTCAGAGGCACTGGGGGAACAGAAGGGGGGGGGGGGGTGTGTGATTTATAGTCAGCTCTTGCTGATGGACCCCCAGGACCCCCAGTCCTGCTCAGTGCCCCCCACCAGCAACAGACACTGCCTTGAAGAGCATGGATGGGACCTCAGGGTCTCCTCTGTGGGGCAGGATTTGACCATGGGCAGTCCAGCAGCCAACGTGAACCCCCTGCATCCCGACTCCTCTGTGCTTCCAAAGCTGCAGCCCTGTGTGGGCAATGGGGACATCCAGCCCCACCGGTGGGGTGGGCAAGAAGCCCCACACCACCCATGTCCATGTGTTTCTCAGTGGACCATGGACAGGGTGAGGGGGGCTCGTGGTCAGCTTCAGCCTTGCAAGAGGGAAGAACAAGAGCAGGAGGCTTTTCTCTTCCCCACCATCGTGTTTGAGCCTACTCAAAGCCACACAAACACACGAGGGTTGGGAGAGCATCCATCAGCTTTGCCTGCCAGGGCATTCATGTTCCATGTGTCCTGGCTTCCCTGCCTGCCTTTGCCTCACTTCTAACCCTGAGGTTGGTCCTGCTCCATGCTGTGAGTCAGTGGCTGAGAGCAGCAAAGGCCAGCAGAGCACCAGCCCCGTGCCAGGAGGTTCCTGGAGCATCCCTGGAGCCCCCTGCCAGGCTGCTGGAGGTGGCATCACATCAGCCTTGTCCTGGCAGGTGGACCCCGACGATGTTCTCACAAAGGAAGAGCAGATCTACCTGCTGGTGGAAGCCAAGGAGAGGTGTCAGAGGGACATAAAAGCCCAGCTGGAGATGATCCAAGGTAGCGCCCATCCCTGCGCGTGGGTCAGCCGGCCCCAGCACACACCGTGGGCAATGCTGTTCCCTCGGACGGGAGAGCATGGAGCTTGAGGGTTTGGGGAGATCCTGGCAGCCTGGCTGCAATTGGGTGCTGCTCACACAATCCCAGCCTGCTTTGGGTTGGAAGGGACCTTAAAGCTCACCCAGCTCCGACCCCTGCCGTGGGCAGGGACCCCTTCCATAGAGCAGCTTGCTCCAAGCCCTGCAGGCCGGGGCGCTGCTGGCAGCGCGTTTCCCTTGGGGGAGCTGGAGGATGCTGGGTCCCTGTTCGGAGGTGGGAGCTGCCTCCTTGCTCTTTGACCAGACACCAGCTGCCTTCCAGAGTGGGATGGGATCATCTGCTGGCCAAAGGGCTCCCCCAGCCAGGAGGTGTCGGTGCCCTGCCCCGACTACATCTACGACTTCAACCATCAAGGTAAGAGCTTGGACCCGAGCAGGGAGAGCCCCTCAGCACCCCCCACCAGCAGGGATGTGCTTCCCTCGGGTCCGTCTGTCACCACAGCGCCCATCGCCCTTCCCAGGTCATGCCTACCGGTACTGCAGCTCCTCGGGGACCTGGGCCATGGCTCTCAGCATCAACAAGACCTGGGCCAACTACACCGAGTGCGCTCTGCTCTTCTCCTCCGAGAGCCGGAGCCGTGAGAAGGTGACTTCGCTCCCTGGGAATAGGGCTTGGGAGAGTTCGAGGCCAGCTTGGATGGGGCTTGGGGCAGGCTGCTCTGGTGTGAGGTGTCCCTGCGCGTGGAACGGGGTGAGCTTTAAGGTCCCTTCCACCCCAAACCATTCCATGGCTCTGTGATTCC